CCCCCCCGCCCCAACAATAAGGGGCCTCTAAATTTCTTCCCCAGTGTATTATTTTCTTGTTCTTCCTGGTTCTGGGCTCCGCTGATAGAAACCCCAGGAGCCACTGTAGGTGGGAGAAAGATAGGCAGACTCTCTCAGAGAGCCTGTGGAAGAGTTTAGGCCACCCCCGTGCTGAAACTGGGCTTGGGGGTCTGGAGCTTCCAGCTGGCACTATTGATGACAACCACTCCCAGGAGGGGCTGAAAAGTGCCTTCCCAGCCTTTAGTCTAGCTGTGGTTGGGTGGGGAAGGGAATAGTCTTGTGCAATGGGGCAAACCACTCCTCGTTCAGGGCTGTTTGTTTAAGTGGGCAGGGATGGGTTTGAGAGAAACAATGCAGTTTTTGTCAGTGTTTATTTGAATTGTTAGGACAAACAAGTTTTGGAGAAAGCTCCTCAGTATAGGGAAGGCAGGATGGGTTATAAGGGATACGATGATGGGAATCCCAAAGTTGAAAGCCTGGGAGCAGCAGGCTGGGTTGGGGCTGTGGACGGGTTAGTGCCTGACTAGCACAAGAGGACCTGAACTTGGCAGGCACGTTGGTCCTGGGTTGCCAGTCCCCAAAATTTTTACAAGAAGCTAGAAATGTGGATTTTTTGTTTCTTGACTCTTTAAATGTTGGTAACTAACTAAAGAAACCACTGTTTGGGTCAAAGCATGATTGCAAGCTGCCAGGTATAACCTTCCAACTAACCTTTACTATACATCTACTATGTGCTTCGCATAGGTTACCCTTTCTAATTTACTGGGTGTGGCTTCCTCCCTCTTTCCCTCTCCCTGCGGTGAGACCTCTAGTGATACGGCCTGCTTACCTGTCCATTCCTTAAAGCTGAATATGGATCAAATCCCCAAGTGCCCACCAATGTGCCCTCCACCCACCAACCTCCCAGCTTTCACTCTCAGTGCTGGAGCCAAAGTGAACAGCTTGCCGGTCCCCAAACAAAACAAGATCCATGATCTCTAGTGCCCAGCTTTTGTTCACTATGATTTTGTTATGCTTGGAACACCCACACCCACCTGCTCATCTCACTTTATACCTCCTCTGTGAAGCTGTTTCTCAACCTCCTTCTTAATCTCCATGGCTTGACCAGCCTCTTTTTTCAACAGCCATTTGTCTGGTACCTCATATGCACAAGCATGAGGGATGCTGAGAGAAATAAGGCCCCATCTCTGCCCTGAGAAGCCTCGGCCACGTAAGGGCAGACATACACTACGTGGGCTATGTGCACGCTGATGAGCTATGTAGAGCATGACAGGATAGGGAGGCAGGGAAGGCGTTTTGAGCTGGATCCTGGGGTAAGTAGTTTTCCAGGGGCAAAGAGGCTTGTGAGGTAGAGGAAACTACCTGTGCAAAGGAATGGGGGCATGAGGTTCTGAAAAAGGAGTCGTTTGGGTGGGGATGGAATGAAGACAGCTGGGGAAGTCACAGAGATGAGCAGTTTGGGAACCAAATTGTTTTGTTACAGCATTTGCATCCCTCCTTCTAGCGCTCCAGAGTGTAACTCCAGGAGCGCAGGGGCTGCGTCTCAGCTTTCACTGCTTCACACCGGACACCTGACACCTGCCAGGGACTGCGTACTCTGCTCAAACCTTTGCAGCAAAGAACACAGCGCCCAGTAGCCGTGAGCGCGCCCTCTAGCGGCCACTGCGCGATCCCACCCCTTGCCGCCGTAGCTGATTCAGCGGTTCCCTGCCCCCGTCCCTGCGGCTCTCACTGGGATGGCGCTTTGCCTGGCATGGTCTCACTTCATCTCCACCCCTCCCTAAGGGGATGTTCCCTTCGGTCCAACATAAGCTTATTAAGCATTTATTCTGTGTTGATCACTGTTCTAGGCACTGGGATACAGAATTTAATGAGTCATTAATCACCTCAGCCCTGGAAGTGCTTTTAGAGAGCCAAGGGATGATGGGAGTTGACTAATGATTGACAGTGCTGGCGGGTCTAGAGGAGGGAGCTAGCCCGTTTTGAGCCTTGAAGGATGGATGAGGGGCTGGCAAAGTAGGAAGCAACAATGCAGTGCCCTATGAAATGGAAAGAGTCAAAGCGGATAATGAGCCAGACCCCCTGCCATCTACTCAACATTTAGTGAACCTCTACCATTTACAAGGGTCATACAGGGAGTATGGGGTGCTAGAGACCCAGAGATGACTAAGATGCCATCTGTACCTCTAGGAGTTCAATCCAGCAGGAAGACAGTTAAATAAATGCAAAGGAAAAGGGAGTGCCCTGTGCTCAGGGTCCTGTTAACAGACACAGGGAGTGTGGAGCAGGGAGTGCCCCCCCACCTGTGTGTGTACAGGATTTCAGGAATAAAAACTTGAGCTTAGGCTGAAAGATGAGAAAGGGGGATGTGGTCCAGGCTGAGTACAACAGGCCCAAAACAGAGGTATGAAAAAATTAGCCATCAAAAGGAGACCCAACCTGGGGCGACCAGGTGGCTCAGTAGGTTAGAGCGTGTGCTCTGAGCAACAGGGTTGCCGGTTCGATTCCACATGGGCCAGTGAGCTGTGCCCTCCACAACTAGATTGAAGACAATTTGAGCTGAGCTGCAGCTAAGCTGCCAGTGGGTGGCTGGATGGCTCAGTTGGTTAGTGTGTGCTCTTAACAAGAAGGTTGCCGATTCGACTCCTGCATGGGATGGTGGGCTGTGTCCCCCGCAACTAGATTGAAAATGGTGACTGGACTTGGAGCTGAGCTGTGCCCTCCACAACTAAGATTGAAGGACAACAACTTGACTTGGAGCTGATGGGTCCTGGAAAAAACAAATTGTTGCCCCAATAAAGTTTAAAAAAAAAAAAGACCCATCCTGGGGTGGTAGGAATGTCTGCTTCTCAATCTGGGTGCTTGCCCCTGGGTGTGTGCAGTTAAGGAAATTCAATTCAATGAGCTGTACGTTTGTGACCCATGCATATTCACCTCAGTTGTACTCGTTTAAAAAGTAGCTCCCAGGGCCGGCCGTGTGGCGCGTTGGTTAAAAGTTGTCTTGGGGGTGCCGGATATGAGGCAGGGCTGGGGTTCGGATCTCAGATGAGGGCCAGTGATGCTGTGCCCTCTACAGCTAAGATGGTGAAAGACCTGGAGCTGGGCTGCTGTGAGTTGCCAGCGAAGGCATAAGCTGCAGCGGGGCTGCAGTGAGCTACCGAGAGCGGCTGGCAGCTGGCATGAGCTGCCATGAGCCGCTGTGAGTGGCTGGAAACTGATTGCCTCACAGGGGAAGAGCGCAATAATACCAACATGGGCCAGTGAAGCGACGTCCTCCACAACTAGACTGAAGAACAAAAGGACAGCAACTTGTCTATTCCCCAGCGCTGTTCCCCTCCCCCAATTCCCCAATAAAATCTTTAAAAAAAAAGTAGCCCCCAACCTCTCGCTTTGCCATTTTATTTTTCTGTATAGCACTTATCACAATCACTTTTACAAGACTAGACTCTGGAACTATACCAGGGGTGCCAAAAAAAAGTATACACATAACTGGTATTCATCTTTTGTTATTGGTATATATTATTACAGTTTCAATCGTTTTTTTCCTCTTAAAATGTTTACTCGTATACATTTCTTTTAGCACCCTCTGCAGTTAGGGTTTGAATCTGGTCCTCCTGTAACAGCTCGGAGACCTTGGGAACTCAATGTTGCTGTCAGTTTCCTCACTTGTAAAATGGGGATCATAGTACCTTCATCATAAGGTTGTGTGCTGAGGCACTCACTTGAGATATGTAAAACACTTACATAGTGCTTCCTGTGTGCTTAGCTTGACAAGACCTAATTTGACAATACCTTGCACGATAATTTGTTGAAGAAATGAATTAAAAGCATTTTTTTTTTTTTGGCACCAAAATGTGGCTCCAAGAGAGGGGTGGGGATGAGAGAGGCGTACCTCAACTAAAGGCTCCTGGGTAGGAGCTCAGAGTCTGGGGAGCAGCTACATTCCTGTGAAGAAGCCAAGGCTTCCCTGGGTGAGGAGGGAAGGCAGTGGTGACTTGGGACAAATAGGACTCCTGTCTCTAGACCCCATACCAAAGGGAGTGGAGGTAAGAACCAGGGCTCAAGCCTGCGTTCCCTCCCTCCCTATTCTCAACTATGCACTGCAGTGAGGATGCCCCAGCTACCAAACAGGCTTGTTGACAGGATCAAACCAGGAAGGAAGAAACAAGACTACACAGCAGCATTGCAGCTTCCCTGGGCCCCCTACTTCCATGGCCCTCTCACCCCTCCCCTCTGGTGGTCAAACTTGGCACTTCTCTCCACCCTCAGGGGTTGGGGCAGTTTCGAAAGGGTCGGAAAACCTGCTGAACAAGGTGGCCAAAGCCTGAACCGGTTGGACTGGGCAGTCACATCTCCCCCCAGCAGCTCTGTCCCTCTGCTGGCCCACAGAGCAGAGGCAGAAGCCTCACAGAACAAACGATTTTATTACACTATGGGTGGAATGGGGCCTGAGGGAAATAGGGGAGCAGGTGGGGTGTGGTGCTGGAGAGCCCTGGGGGGTACGGCGAAGATGGAGCAGCTCTGGCTCCCAGTGCCAGGCCAAGTTGGGGCTCACTCTCGGGAGAAGCGGAAGAGGCAGCACAGGCCACATAGCCACTTCCACTCCTCTCATCCACCCCCACGGCATTAAATAAACAAAAAGCAACTCTGTACAGCACAAAATACATAGGGAGGTCCTTTCCCCAGCTCTGGACTGTGCAGAGTGGGAAGGGTAGCTCTGGAGGACAGGGTTGGGGCCTCCAGCTTCTGACACCACCCAGGTCCCTTCCCAACACCATGGTGTGGGGCAGGCAGCTTTAAACCTGGAAACGAAATTCCAACTTCCTCTGAAATCCTAGGTAGGAAGGCCCATCTGTGTGTGGGAGTCCTGGCTGTAAGGTTTTCTGTTCCTTTCAGACACTGGAGCCTCCTCAGGAACAAGTTGCCTGAGCTTAGCTGAGACACATCCAAAAGTGGCTAGAACCCTGGCTTTTGAGGCAGAGTAGGCCTGGAAACAGGCAGGAGGGGTCTGGTCCCAAAGTCTTTCACAGCCCAGGCCTCAGTCTTGGCAAGGAGGAAGCAGGGCCAGGTGAGAGCTGGCGAGAACCCCAAGCCCAACGGCCAAGGCAGCCCCAGGCTCAGAGGGGTCGGGTGGTGTGGTTATAGACCAGGTGCTCCGTGTCCTCGGTGGTGGAGACGGTGGAGCTCGCAGGAGTAGGGGGAGGGGGGTGACGGTGGCCATGGCGGTATCTGTGAAAGCTTTTTCTCTGGTTCTTGAAGAAGCAGTAACCCAGGATGGCAACCACTACCACAATGCAGGTGGCCAGGAGCACTGCAATGGCCACCTCCATGGAGCCTGGGGGAAGAAAGGACCGAATGAAGAGATCCCAGGGCCTACTCAGTTCTCATGCCCACCTCCCACTCGGGATCAAAAGGACCAAGTCAAATAGATGACACATGTGGAAGGACTCCAGCATATGAACTGCTGAATGGCTCTATTGGGAGCTCAGTGGGATGGATTCTGATGGGCCTCGAGTCTCAGCTCCCAATGGCTCTACTTGCAGGTAGCTTGGGGGAAAAGCTTGGGACTGACAGCAAACATCTAGCGTGTACTTTACTATGCTTCTCTCCCCTGACATGGCAGGAATCACTATTGATTGTGACACTGTCCCTCTAGCCAACCTCAGGATCCTTGTCAACACAGGTTTAGGCAGTCACAGCTAATTGTGTGGAGTTGAACTATGAATTGATACCTACTCGTTGGTAACAGGGCAGACCAGGGCTTACCTCCGTTGGGAATGGGGTTTTCCCGCCGAAGACCAAACACATCCTTCTCTACAAAGTGATGGGGGAGAGAGAAGTCAATACTAAGGGCTGAGACTCAGCTGCTCCCCAGTGCCCCAGACCCCCCAGTGCCATCCTCTTCCACCCCCATTTCAGGTGCTCTGAGGATGCTCTGAAGATTCAGTGTGACCAGTCCAGACCTTGGGACAGAGCAGAGCGCTCCAGCTAAGCCTTTCCCCTCCCCATCTTCCATCCCCCCACTGCCCTGCTCACTGGAGATGCCATGACAGGACTCAAGACACTGCTGCTCCTCCTCAAAGTTGTTCTTGTTGCCATAACAACCGCCATAGGTAAAGCGGGCGCAGCGTTCATTGAAGGGGTTGTAGTACCAGCGTGAGATGCTCTCCTTGCAGAGGCCTGTGTCTGGTAGGTCCACACAGTGCCCTGGGGGGTAAAGGAGCAGGCGAAGGAGTGAGTGAATCCATGGGGCCTCCCTGCTACCATCTACCAGGCTCCACATGGCTGCTGCCCTCCATCTCCCAACCCACGTCATGCTGAGGACAGCTGTGACTCAGGGAGGGTCTCAGGGGCCCCAGAAACATCTATTTCATCTGTAGTGTTGCCGAAAGTAAGGAAGACAAATCCTGGACATTATTAATCTTAGGCACTGAAGTAAACTACACTGACTCACATAACTATTTCTCTTTCAATCTTCTTTCAGTTTTTCTGATTGTGTCCAGTCTTGGTTTTCTCTCTAGCACCGGAGGGTCTATTTTTTAACAAAAGTGGCTGGAGTCTGAGCCCTGGCAAGCAACAATGTCCAGCTAAAATTTACATAATTGTTTTATTATATTTAATTTAATAGTCAATCTCAGTTTGTGGCATGTAATAGTGGCTTTCCACTTATGACAGTGATGTGAAATTTCCTTTTTAATACATTAAGTTAAAAAAATGATAAATAAATAAATATTAAGTAAATACCATCTCAGTGATATGTGGACATGGCTAAATTTCTGAAGGCGTTAAGAGGGTGACTGATGCTTGGGAAATAGAGCCAAAGAAGAGGGCTGGGAGTCCACCGTGGCTTTCTGCCCATAGTCTGGCACACACAGCAGGCCCTTTCGGCATGTTGATGGGATGAGTGAGGATGGCAGTGACAGCGTCCACCCTGATCCAGGGGACCTGAGGCGGGGGGAGGAGAAATCTCACCTTTGTCACTGGGGAAATGGAAGCTCTGGAGCTCCTCAAAGCCACTGGTATCTGCAAAGATGAAAGATCAGAGTCACAGGCCCAACAAGGGTCTCCCGGGGTGCAGGGTAAATGGTCAGGACCTCCCCATCTGCTGCCTACCACACCTCCATCTCCCAGACCTCACATTTTTCACAGGTGGCCTCATCGGAGGCATCGGGGCAGTCGGGAGTGCCATCACACTCCAGGAAGCTGTCGATGCAGCAGCCGTCACTGCAGTGGAACTCAGTGGAATGACAGGTGCCAGAGCACACTGGATGGGGCAGAACGGGGTGGGAGGTGAGGTCAGGCTCCAGCAGAGGCCAGAAAGTACCAAGGGTCCACTATCTTCCTGGCCCTCTCTACCCCAATACAGTATCATGACACATTCTCTGTTCCCCTTCTAAAACCCGCAACCCCCCAACCCCCGAGCCTTCTATACACAAATTGGGCAGATCCTGATAGGAAGATGCTGGGCTGCAAGGAGTGGGGTGCTTGTGATCCTTCCACATACTTTGAAGGTAGGAATGGGTTGGGCAAAAGCAGTTTGGTCAGGGGCATGGACATGATATGGGCTGGAGACCTGGCAGGGGTGAGGGGAACAGGGGAAGGAACAAAGCTCACCTGGATTGTGCCTTTCCAGGGAAGGGCCTGAGAAAGAGAAAACAGAGACGTGAGAGGAGGCAGGGCCAGGCCCCAGCAGGGATGAGCTGATGGGGATGCCGGGGAATGGGGGACTCCCACCTCCCTGACTCGTGAAGAGACCACCCACCCTGGGGGAAAGTCACCTGAGTCCCAAAGCTGCCCCACAAAGGCCCACCTTGCACATCGTGGCAAGCTAGCTTGCACTCTTCTTCCCGAAGGTAATTGTTCTTGTTGCCCAAGCAACCTCCATACACAAAACTCTTGCAGATCAGTTCTATGGGGTCGTAATACCAGCGGGGGAAGGAACCACGGCAGCGGCCCACCTTTTTGGGTACTAGGCAATAGTCTAGAAGGAGGAAAGCTTGTGAGGGGAGCTCACAGGGCCAATCAACAGAGCGAGGTGGCTCCAGATGCTGCCTCCCCACTCCCTCCCTCACCTTCTGTCTGCTTGGTGGACAGCACGGTGACTGTGATGTTGGCTGTGCTCCCTGGCTGGTCTGAGTCGGCCACTGTCAGCTGGAACAGGTAGGTACCTTCCTTGAGTCCCCACAGCTTCACCTGGTCCGGATCAGTCCTCTATACATAGGAGTAGCCATTAGGCTGGGACCCGCTGATGTCCTTGGGCTGCCCCAGGCCCTCCCAGACACACAAGCCCCAGGGAGAGCAGAGGGACTTGATATTAAGTGTATCCTCAGCTTCCATCCACCTTGGCCTATGGCCCCAAAAAGAAAGGGGGCCCTGGAGAGCTGAGGTGGGGTCAGGGAGCCAGGCTAGTGTCTCACCTCTACCCTGACATCCGTGTCACCCTGAAGTAGGTGCCAGTCTGTGTTCTCCACACCCGTCAGCACCAGGGGTTCCTGGGGCTGTACCTTCAAGTCCATGTCTGCCCAGACCATGGGGATCCGGGACCCTGGGGGAAAGGTGAGGTAAGGTCAACTCTCACTGAATGCACCAGACTTCTCCCAGGGGCAGGAGGCAGTATGGGCCACACCTACACCAACCTAGGACTCAACAACCAACACGGGGTACAGGTGGGAGCCCACAATTAAACCATCTTCTTGCTCTTTATTTAGATATATTATGTCATTGGTATATCAAAGATATTTTTATGTGGTAAAACTCACTTTGTAAAACAAATTCCTGAATAACACATGACATCTCATTCCAGTTAGGAAAAAAAAACAACATGGATATATTTGGGGAGGGCGGGGCTTATTCCTGTCTTCTGCAATAAGCAGGTCTTGTGCTAATTGCTTTAAAAAGTTAAATTAACAATATTTGTGAAAAGTCAAATGATTATATGTGTAATTAACACCCATCACCACTCTCTGCTCCCCAACTGCTTCTGACAGAGGCCTTAAGCACACAGTTCCCAGGTAGCAGTGTGGCAAGTCGTGGTGTCCCAGGGTGAGTGGCCACAGGAAGGGGTGCCTGGGCCACCTCAGACAGATTAGGCCTCCAGTTATGAGAGAATCACACCCTCCCTCAACCTGACAGTGCTTGTGCCTGAGGCTTCTCGTCTAGGGTTAGGGGCTAGAGAGAGAAACAAGCCCAAAGCAGGATCCTTGCTTGTAATGGGTTGAATGGTGGTCCCCCAAAATATATGTCTATGTCTAAACTCTAGAACTCGTGATGTGACCTTATTTGGAAAAAGGGTCTTTGCGGAAGTAATCAAGTTAAGCATGTCCACATGAGACCAACCTGGATTAGGTAGGTGCTAAATCCAATATAGCAAGTGCCTTTATAAAAGACGGAAGAAAACATAGAGTGAAGGAATAACAGGTCATGTGAAGACAGAGGCAGAAATTGGAGTTATGTAGCCACAAGCCAAGGAAGGCCTGGACCCACCAGAAGTTGGAAGAGGCAAGGATAGATTCTCCCCTGGGGTCTTCAGAGGGAACATGGCCCTGCTGACACCTTGATTTTAGGCTTCTGGCCTCCAGAACTGTGAGACAATAAATTTCTATTGTTTCAAGTCACCCAGTTTGTAACAGTTTGTTATAGCAGCCATAGGAAATTAATATACTGTCTTTGAGGGGATTACAGTCTAATTGGGCAGGTAAGACCCAACAACATGAAGCAACATGGGAGAAAAGACCCAACAAGATGAAGCGATGTGCAGTTCATGTACAGGATAAAGACAGGGACATTCAGAGAAGGGAAAAGCTCTGGCATACGACAGCAATAAGAAAAGGTTTTCTGGAGAAGAGAGAAATGATTTTTTTAATTCTTTTATTTTTGTTTTTATTTGTTTGGTTGTGAGTTTTTATTTGCTTGCTGTGTGTTGTTGATGACAACAGAAAACATGAGGGGCTAAAGCAAGGGGCTGGGAATTTGCAGGGTTGGTTTGGTGATATTAAGGAGAACAGCTGGCCTGGACAGACCTCAAAGGGCCCTGAATGCTGGGCCAGGGCATGTGGACACAGCAGGCATAACATTCAAATATTTAACAACTGGTGGTACAGGAAGGAGACAGACACTGGGTGTGAGAAGTGGTACAGAGTCCTAGAAACCCTGGCTGCACTGGACATTGATGTCCTATACGCATGATTGAGGTCCAGGAGTGCTAAGGCAGAGGCCAAGGGCCTGGGTAGCAGGGGCACACCTGAGCTCGGGGCAGCAGCTGTTCACCCATCTGTTTGGAGTTATTTCTATGGAGCGAGGAGGCTGGCAAGTACACCAGTGCAGCAGGTCAGGACAGATGCAACAGAAGTGGTTTGAATTAAGGGACAGGTAAAGGAATGGAAAGGAGGATGTGAGCAACAATGATGGGCAGATGCTTCAGGCTTCTGTGTCTGATGGGTGCTGGGAATGGGGAGGAAAAGCCAGGCCACAGGCAGAAGGGAAATCAGATCTAGAGGGAATGTGTGGGTTCAGCCACAGAGAATTTAAATTTGAGGGAGGGAAGACCATGCAGAGGGGAGGTGTGCACTGGGAGCTCCAGAGAGGCCAGGGTTGGAGAGGGACCTGGAATCATAATTATTAACATAGTTGCCACTTGTTGGATGTGTGCTCGGCACCATGCTGGGTACTTTCTTTACCTGCATCATCTACATCAGGGGTTGGCAAATGATGGCCCTCGGGACAAATCCAGCCCACCACCTGGCATATTTTTAAATGGTTGAAAAAAAAATCAAAAGAATAGTTATTTTGTGACATGAGAAAAGTATATAAAGTTCAAATTTGTGTCTGAACAAGCCTTGCTTGTTCGGTTACATACTGTGGATGGTTGCTTTCACGTTTCAACAGCAGAAGTGAGTAGCTGCGACAGACACTATAGGGTCCACAAAGCCTAAAATATTTTCTATTTGAAACTTTACAGAAAGGTTGCTGACCGCCGATCTACATTGCCTGCCTTTCTAACCACCCGGCCACAACTGCATTCTCACCCCTCTTTCCAAATGGAAAAATGACACCAGAGAGGTTAAATGACTTGCCCAGGGTCATTCAGTTTCTATATGGCAGAGCTGGGATTTGAACCCTGGTTTAACTCCACCACTCATTTTCTCTCCAAAACACCATGCTGCAGGTCACCCACCTGCTTAGAGGTTTAATTTTGATTGCTTTTATAATCTTGGAGCTTTTGTTTTTAGCTTAGGTTATACATATATATGATATAAAATTCAAAAAGTACAAAAAGGAAGTGAGAATCAAGTACCTTCTTCTCCTTAACCCCCAGGTTCCTTTTTCCAGAGGCATCCAATCTTACTAGTTTATGTGTGTGAATATCAAGAAAGAAATAGTACTGAATTATAAGCATGCTAGTTCTTGTTTTTCTCACAATATATGTTGAAAATAATTCCATAGTAACACATAGTTTTCTTTTCTTTTCTTTTGGCTGCATAGTACTCATTGTATAAATACACCATAATTTATAACTTATTTAAAACCAGTCCCCGGGTCTCCTCTTGCTTTAGATCTTTCTTTCTCTCCCTTTCTTCTTTTTTTTCTTTCTTTCTTTCTTCCCTTCCTTCCTTCCTCCCTTCCTTCCTTTCTTCCCTCCCTCCCTCCTTCCCTCTTTCCCTTCCCTACTAAGAATTGAACCATGCTGCCTCAGGGTTTATTAGTATTGTTAAAATCGCATCACAGTATCCAGTTATAGGATGTGTTGACAGACATCGATATCTTTCCCAGTCTTTGCTATCCTAAATAATGCTACAGTGAACAACTGGCTGGTAAGTTGTTCAACACATGCATAAGTAGAGCAGCAAAATGAACTCCTAACAAGTGGAATTGTGTTGCGGTTATATGCATTTACAATTTTGATGGATATTGCCAAACTGCCCTCCACAGAGGCTCTACAGAGGGTGTGTCCAAATGAGAGGAAGTTCAAAGGAAGAAGAGAAGGTAAATAGATAAGAAAAGCTGGTTGGAGGCTGAGTCACAGGGATTCCTCTTTGATGAGGCAGAGAAAGCAAATACAATGGGAGACTCACAGAGGGTGGTCACAGAGGTGAGAAGACCAGGACACACAGCGACAGCAAAAGGACAGGAGGGGAGCGCTTCCACAGAGAAACATGTCAAATGGTGCAGAGGCCTACAAGAATAAGATAAAGGGATCTGGATTCCAGGGGGTGAGGAGAAATGAGACTGGGAGATCAGGAAAGGAAAGTGCTTGTCTGGAACCAATGCCCTGCTTGGCTGGAGATCAGGAGAGGGCCAACAGGGGTCAGTCCTAAGGGGAACTCTGAGAAACAAAGCCAAGGGGCCAGTGAGCTGGAAGGAGCCCATTACTCCCTCCTTGCTGTTTCAGGAAGTAATCAGCTGTCTGAAAGGGGAAAGAAGACACACTACTTGGCAATCTAACTAGCAGACAGACAGGCTAGCCCCATCAGCCCCCAAGGCCGAAGTGACAGGCAGAGTGATGTGTCAGACTTTGGGCCAAATCAGAAATGTCCACCCCCACACAGCTGGTCCTCTCCAAGCCCCAGTGCCCAGGAGCAAGGGGCAGATGCCCTGCCCTACCACACTCTCTTCTCCCCATCTCCAAGAGAGCAAAGGGCCAGAGTAGTAATAAAGCCAGCCCCTCCCCCAGCTGCCAAGTCCCAGGACATCTCCAGGCAAATACAGACTCCACCTCCTAAGCTACTCTTCCAACAGAAAGAGGGGGAGGGCAGGAGAAGGGGAAGGAGCAGGGTGCTCAGGAGGCCACAGGAATCTGGACTGGACTGGCCTGGCCACAGGCAGGGAAAGGGGAACAAACAAACCCACCCGGGGGAAGATTTCTTTACCTAATACAAGAATCAAAGGTTTAGAAGCCCTGAGCACCTGCCCATCTTGCCTGCCATAATGGCTTTATCCTGCTCTTAGCCAAATCCAACTTCTTTAGCTGAACTTAACTGAGAATGGATTCCTTGACACCACACAGCTTCCCTGACTCCGCAAAACTCTGCAGCACCATGAAATTGGCCTGTTCAAGCCCTACCCAGCTCCCTAAATGCCCAGGAAATCCCCACTCCACCCTGTCTTGTGCCAAAAGGCCAATCGGGATGAGGGAGGGTTTCCAGAAGAGGAAGTTTGGTCCCAAGATCATGTGGCCTCACCCAGCTCAACTCCCTGACCAGACCCCAGAGTTTCAGGCACCAGCCTGGGAGTGGGTCTCCCACGGGGCTTCTGTCAGCACAGGAAGGGCACAGGTCAATTAGAGTCGTCACCACCTACGCTCTCTGCTACTTCCTTGTGGAACAGGCTCAGGCCCTGGTCCAGTGGGACTCAGTGGCCCAGCCAGGCCAGGAGGTGGTGCCCCCTCCTGGAATTCTCATCCCACTTCTCAGAGACCCAGGATTGTTCCTGGATAGATAGGGAGAAGAGTGGGCCCTTAACCTGGGAGAGAAACTGGCCTATGAAAAGGCTGGAGAGGAAGGTCCCTTCTCCACTTTCCAGAATTAAGAAAGACCACCTCCAGACTCAGCCCCAGCCCAATCCTGGCCCTTGGGCTCCCCAGTCTCTGATTCTGTCAGCCCACTGGGCTGTCCTGGGTCAGAGACAGGTTTCTTCCAGAAAGGTGGTCTTGTGTGAAAAATAGCACAAGGCTTTTGGAGGTCCCTCCTAGGGTTGAATCCCAGATCTACTATTTATGGGCAGCGATATCCTGGGCAGATTTAACATGGGTGACAGTTTCCTAACCTGAAAAGTGGAATGACTACTAATAGCATCTTTTTCGAGGTGGTTGTCATGAGGCCTCAGTGAGAGGTTGAGTGGCACAGCAATCAGTAAGCTGTAAAGTACTAACAGAGGTTATCAGTTGTGACCCATCCCTGCCCTAGAGCCCCACCTGGCCAGGACAGCAGGTGGAGAGAATGGAGAACAAAGGTCTCTGGAGGGGCCCTGATCCCAGCTAACTGCTTAGTCCCAGAGGAAGGAGGAGCCCTGCCCCTCCCACCCCCCACCCCACTTGACTCTTATCCTGGGAAGTAAACAAGGTGAATAGACAGCTTGGCTACCAGATCCTAGGCAGGGAGAGACAGCCCTGCCTGGCTCACGTGCACATACACCTGCCTGGACAGCTGACATCCCTCCCCTACCAGGTATATACACTAGTGGGCTGACTCACCAGCAACCCTCCTCACCCCCACCCCAGAGCCTCTGGCTACTGTGCCCACAACACAGCCCCCTCCCCTTTTGGGTCAAGTTCAGACTAAGCTTGTTCTTTAGTCTCTGGGGTCTGGCAGTTTTCCCCAGACCACCAAAGTCCAATCAATAGGTGGAGGAATGGGTGCAGAGAGATGCTAACCAGTCCCAACCCCAGCAGTGGAAGCGGAGACTCTCCTTCACCAGGCTCATTTGCAGGGGCCTCAGATGGAACTTGTCCAGTGGTGCCTACTAGTCACCTGTTTACCTCCATAGAGCTCACTCCCTGACTTAGCATGTCAGAGCCAGAAGCTGGGAATTCTGAGGAGCTGCTTCCTCCACCCCATACACACATCCCAGAGCACCAGCCCACGCAGCACCTTGAATTCAGGAGGGAGTCTAGCCTTTAGGATGTCACCCCTCCCCACTCACCTAGCCTGTCCTTTGTTTACTGTTTATACCACCTACTTCTAAGGAGGAATTAGGGTAGAATGGGACTCTTCTCAATGAACCCTTTTCTGATGCTCGCCTCCCCCCAGGACTCCATAACCAGCCCTTTTCCTGAGTCTCCCCAAACCCATCCATCCCCGCATCCTCTCCTTACCTCCAAAGCCCTGGGTCCGCAGCTCGCGGTAGGAGCGGTAAACCTCCCGCGTGAGGTAGTTGATGAAGCCCTCCCTGGGAGCGAACTTGCACACGAAGTTCTGATCGTAGAGGCAGTTGATGAGGAAGCAGGAGGCGACAGCGTCCTCCCCGCCGTTGGGCTGCAGCTCCACCAGCGCCAGGTTGCAGTTCTGGGTAGTGCAGCAGGCGCGCACGCAGTCCCGGCCGCGGCGCACAGTTGGGGAACCCAGGAAGGTGGCCCCGTTGCGGATCGAGGCATCGGTGTCGAGCACGAAGGCGGGTACCCCCGGGGTAAAGCGGTCCAGGCAGGAGGCTTCAGCTGACAGCGCGGGGGGCGTGGGCGGCGGGCCGGCGGCGGTGTCCGGGAGGCCGAGCGCGCACAGGAGCCACACAGCGACCGCTGGGAAGTAGGTTTGGGAGAGGCGGACGCCAGCCATCGTCCTCCCAGGGGCCGTCGCCCTCCTCCCCGCGGGAGTCACCTTCACAGTGCGGGCCTCTGGGCTCCAAGGGTGCTTGCGACCTGAGAGGAGGGGACGGAGGAGGAGACACACGGAATCAGCCGGGGAACCGGATCAGCCGGGGAGATTTCAAGGGAGGCGGGCCGACCCGGAGGAAGTGAAGGGGAGGGCTGGGGAGCAAGCAGCACCCCGGGAGTGAAGAGGGGCACGCAGGCCCAACACCCCCCCCCTCACCCGCCCCCACGCAAGCTCCGGTGACCCGGCCGCCAGACCCACGGCCCGATGGATGGCTAAGGAGGTCACTTTTCCGGTCACACGCTGGAGCACAGAACAAAGCACCAAACATGCTCCGAGCCCGCTCCGCCTCCAAGGCCCCGGTTACCTGCGCAGGTGAGTGGGGTGGGGCCGGGTCTGTCGAGGTTCCGGTCCCTACTTCCTGCGCGGCTCCAGCGGCCGCTTCCGCCCAGGTACCCGGAGCGGTGAGGACCGGCCACCTCCTCCCCCTAGTTTCTGGTGAAACTGAGTCAGCGCGGCCGGGGCGGAGCAGACATTAACCCCAGCGCCGCCGGCCCCGCCCCCGCCCACGCCCGGAGCGCCTCCGCCGGCGCTTTGCAGCCTAGCTTCCGGAGCACCTGCCCCGCAGCTCCAAGATCCCCGACCCCTCACCCGCAGCCTGGTCCCTCTAAGAGAGGCTGAGGCCTGGGGGCGCTCTGCCCCGGGCCGCGTCCCTGGGGGCTGCTCTACGCGGGCTCCACCGAGTCCAGCCTCGCTGGGGTGGGGGGCCCTGCACCGGTATTCCTGGAGGCCCAGACACGCCAGAACTCCAGCGAAGTCAGGCACGTCAGAGTTGGGCGCTCTGGGACGGCTGCCTCCCCCCTCCCTTTCGGGTCCTAGCCAGCATTCCCAGACCCAGGCTTGAGGCGCTAGTAAAGGGGCAGGGGGGGCGGGGAGAGGGAAATGGGGGAAAGCCCGAAGCAAACGATCTTGTCGTCAGCCCTCAGGAAAGAAATCTTTTCCATTTCGTGGAAGAGATCCCAGAAGCTGTGTTGCTGCACCTTTGTTAACTGGAATCTGGATGCCAACTCCTTTGTCACCGCCTTTGCCCGTCCGAGCGCTTAACCAACTGAGCCACTTGGCGGGCCGGAGCATTCTTCTTAATTTGTCATCTAGAGCAACTTTACCTACTAGGTCTCGTAGCCAACCCTTGGATCATTTTCCTGGCCGAACAGCAACATCTCCCCGCTGCCCACATTATAGGTGTTGGGGCTGGGATTTGGGGTCTGTTTCTCTTTCTCTGGATTTTCTGTTTTTCCACAGCTGCTGGCACAGTGGTGGATATAGCACAATCAATGATGGTATGCTGGAAATGAAGCAAATGATTGTGCAGTTACTGGAAAGAAAGAGTTTTGTGAATTGATTCCTGCCTCCCCCAATACCTGATACATACAGGAATCCTAACACAGGAGACTATTACCTTATGATAATATTATATTACCATAGATTTATCATTATATCCATTATACATGCCATTACAAAACCTAACTTTTATCAAGCATTGACAATGCTCAAGCCCTGTTCCTCAACACTTTCTACACATTGCCCCATAAGCTCAAAACAAACCAAGAAAGTAGGTACTATTTTTATCCCTGTTTTACAGATGAGCAAACAGGCTCAGACAAGGGAACTAACTGTCAAGTCACATGGCAGTTAGGAGGCAGAGTGGGGATTGGAGTCCCAGCAGGCCCATTCCATTGCTTTGGTGGGCTTTTCTGCACTTGCAGTTAAGTTCTGAGTTCAGATGTGAGTTCCACCCTCAGATTCAACTTGCCTGAAACAAAAATCATTTTCAAGTGGTAAGCAGCCACCATTAGTTGAGATGCTTACTGTGTGCCAGGCATTTGACATATATAATTGCTCATTCTCATGACCACTCTGAAAATAGTTTCCACTTTGCTGAGAAGCTTACTGACTCTATCAAGGTCAGGTAAAAAGAGTGGGAGGCAAGGCTGTATAGAGGTTGAGATTGTAGGCTTCCCACTGAGACTTCTAGGTTTAATTCCCTTTTCTGTCACTTACTATTGGTGTTGCCTTAGGCAAGTTATTTAGCCCTCTGTGCCTAAATCTCTTGTTTACGAAGTAGGGTTTCATAGAGTTATAAGGATTAAATGAATGAATAAGAGAAAACAGTTGACACTGTGGGTGCTTAATAAATGTTACCTGGAAGAAAAACAACAGAGCCAGAATTTTATCCCAAGTCTCTCTGACATCAAAACAAAACAAAACAAAACAAACTACACTTTCCCTACTACCTTATGCTGCTTCTTACATGCTAAAAAGAAAAACTACATATAAAGGGAAAAAAGATAGTCCAACAAAGTGGTGAAAGTGATGGCATTTGGATGGTGGGAATATGGGGTAAGATTTTCTTCTTTTCAGTTTTTAAATTATTTCCCAATTTCCCTTCAGTGAGCATGGAATTCTTCTATTGGGTCTTCAGAAAAGTCATGACGTATTTTGTCTTTTTTTTTAAGTTTTTTTTTTTTTTTAAATCGGGGAATTGGGGGATGGGAACAGACAAGTTGCTGTTGTTTTGTTCTTCAGTTTACTTGTGGAGGACGTTGCTTCACTGGCCCAAGTTGGCACCATCATTGTGCTCTTCCCGGGCGAGGCAAATCAGTTGCCGGCTTCTGGACAGCCACTCACGCTGGCTCCTGACTATACACGGTAGCCCATGGCAACCCACTGCAGCAGGGGCTGCAGCTTATGCGGTTGCCGGCGACTCAAGGCAACCCAGCTCCAGGTTGAGCTATTGTTCAGCATCTTAGCTGTAGAGGGCAGTGTCACTGGCCCCCATGTGGGATCCGAACTGGGTGCCTCTGGCGTCCCAAGCCAGCTCTTAACCAACGCGCCACTCGGCCGGCCCTTGTCTGTTTTTCAAAGGTCATTTATTTATATAAAGAACAAAGATCAATCAATGATATATGGCCCGTTGTGTTCAATAACCTTTTGCCATCTTTCAGTGAGCTTCATAATTCCTCATTCGTAGAAGGACCTGTCTTTATTCGCGAAAAACTGAACAAGGTGCTGAGTTACAGCCTCATCTGAATTGAACGTTATACCACACAAGGAGTTTTGAAGAGAGCAAAACAAGTGGAAGTCTGACAGCGCAAGGTCAGGGGAGTATGGTGGGTGTGGCAACACATCCCATCCAAGCTCCAATAATTTTTGACAGGTGATCAAACTTGTGTGTGGTCTCACGTTGTCGTGATGGAACACAACTCCTTTACAATTAACAAGCTCTGGATGTTTCTGGATGGTGGATTCATTCAAACTGTCCAATTGC